AACAACAATGATGACAAATCTTTGACGAGAGAACCCCGGACCCTGAAGGAAAGTTCTGTGAACTGGATTTGTAGTCTCGGTCCAATATTATCCAGCCCAAGACCAAACGACGAAATCTAGTTTTTTTTTTTTTTTTTTTTTTTTTTTTTTTCTTTTTCCCCCTTCAAACTTAAAAAATTACATTTTTTAGCTAGGTTTTAAATTTATTTTATTTTCATCCCTTACCTTTCAAAATATTTCTTTTTAGTCCTCAAACCTATAACAGAGTTATCCATGAATAAATTTAAATTTTAAAATTGATTTCTTTCCAATTTACTCATTTCGTAATATATATTAAATCCAAATAACATAAGAAATTCAAATTATCATCCTAATATTTTAAAAAAATTAAATCTAAATATTACATATATGATTCGTAAGTATTTATTTTAAAAACATGAGAGTAATAATTTCAAGGTATTTTTTTAATTCTTGAAAAGTAATCCAAATTCTCTTCCTTTAAAAATATTTTAAAATTTATTGAAAGTTTAATAGTATTATGATTTATTTTTTAGGCTTACAAGTTTTTAAATAACGAAATTGAGAATCTTTAAAGTATTTTAGGGGAAGTTAAGAATTTTAAAAGAGAAGTAAATTTGAAAGGACATAAATAAACTATACTAAAAATCGTAAATAATTGAATTAGAGGGGAAGAATTGAAATTTACTTAAAATAAAGGGCCTACGGTTTTTAATCCGTGTCAGGTATCACGCTTGCGGAGCGGAAAGTGGGTGGTTTGGGGGACATATTGGCAAATGATGAAAAGACAGGGGCACGTGCGTAAAAGCTTGAGCTTAAAGTCGCATCGTAGCCAGAGGGTCGGTAGAGAGTTTTTTTGGTGCTCTCTCCCTCGCGTAATTTCTGTGTCTTTTCCTCGTTGTGTTTTCTCTTCCATCTCTGTTAAGGTCAAGTTTCCAGTTGAATTCTGGATTCCATTTCGCGATCTTCGATAACGGTACCGATCGCTATCGCGATCGCGATTTTGGTTGTTGTAAGAACTCTAAGAAGAACAATTTGAGACAGAAGATTCAGAGTTCAATCATCTATGGAGGCTGATTCGTGGAATGCTCACTTTCAGCTTTCATCTTCGCGACGCTACCGATCTCGGTCCGGTACGTTGCCGACGTTTTGTTTCGGAAGTTATATGTTTAGTTCTGAATTTTTCATGGAAATGGCTGCTATTTTTTTTTTTTTTTTTTTGTGATCTTTCTTGATTGTTTGGTGCAGGTGTGTACCAAGGAGATCATGAAGAGATTGAAGATGAAAATTCGAGGGCTGAGTTTTTGTGCCCTTTTTGCGCCGAGGATTTTGATATTGTAGGTCTTTATTGTCACGTCGACGAGGAGCACCAGGTGGAAGTCAAGAACGCGGTACGCCGATTTGATTATTTCGATTTCTAACCTAGATATGGCCGATCTATAGCATCCTTTATAAAAAAATTCGAAATGTTATGTTTTGGTTCAGATTATTATGTACTTAATGTCTAGCTGATAAATGTAAGAATTGTATTATTCCGTTCAGCTTCTATGATGAAAACTGTGCTTATTTTTATAAATATGCATCTTCCTGTCTTGATCTGTTTAGATTCCGATTATTGTCTCTTTAACTTCGTTATTTCTTTATTTATTCTCGGTAAGGTCATTTTTTGAAGGTGCCAAACTGCGTTTCTAGATTCTGCTGCTTAATCTAGGATGGTATAGAACTAGAGATCATCATGACTAGGGAAAATATGAGAACAGAACTTTATTTTGTCTGACCAATGAATCCCTAGACTTTGTTCACTTTTCAGCATGTTTATATCAACTCTACTTTGTTACTCCAGTATGTGTTGAGAAAATTAATTTAAGTGACGGATTTAATGATTATTGTTTTTACACTATGCAACCAATTTTTTACTAGCGACTTCAAATTTTGTCAAATGGAGCTTCCCCTCATTCTGTATGTCTCTGGATTGCTTGATTCTTTTATCTGTATGGACATTGTGAAGTTTTATCTCACGATAGTACTTTGTAATTTCAGGTATGTCCATTATGCATAAAGAAGGTCGGAATGGATATTGTTGGCCACATCATCTCACAACATGGGAGCCTTTTCAAGATATCCTTAATTTTCGTTTTTGTTAATTTATATTCTGATTCTGGATATTGTTTCCATCATAACCAACTCAAATTTCTCAGGATTTCTTACCTTTTTTTCTTTTCACCTAGAATTTGAAGACTTGGGAACTTTTAAGTTTGAGCAAAATTTAATGTATAATGTGAAAAGTTTTTAGAGGATGGTGTAGCTGTTAGGACTAGTGGTTCATGTCAATTCCTCACATTGATGGCCAATCCTGTCTGTCAATCCCCTTTATTTTCTGTTTACTGATTTGTAGTTTCTACACTTCCTTGACTAAAAAATACGTGCAGCGACAGAGGAGATTGCGAAAATTTGGATCTAGTTTGACATTTTCGAAGCTGAGAAAGGAGCTTAGGGAAGGAAACTTGAGATCCCTTCTTGGTGGTTCTTTACACTCTACCCCCACCAGTACTGAACCTGATCCGTTGTTGTTTTCGTTTACTTCTAATCTGCCTACCGTCAGTCAGCCAGCTAAAGTGCAGTCTCAGCTGTCGGCTGAAGTAACTTCATCACAGGAAAGTTCCAAGGCTGACTGTTCAGAGAGGAGGTAAGAGACGACCCCCCCCCCCCCCCCCCCCCCCCCCCCCCCCCCCCCCCCCCCCCCCCCCCCCCCCCCCCCCCCCCCCCCCCCCCCCNATGGTTAGATAGAATTGGAAAAGACAACCCTTTTTGTGCATGTTATTCCATTTTGTGATTACCCATTCATTTGTTATTCCATTTTGTGATGACCCATTCATTTGTTGTATCTATACCTTATATGATATAATACAAGAAAAGAAAATCAATTTATATACCAAACTTTGGGATTGTATCACTTAAAACTCAAACTAACCTCTTATAAGTGAATCAATTCAGAGAGTCTGAATTCTCTGAATTGATTCATTTATGAAAGTTTTGGGTTAAAATTGATACAATTATTAGTTTGAGGTTTTAATTGATACATCCCCACAACTTAGGGTTATAAATTGATTTCTTTTGCTATAATATATTGTACTTTATGACTTCTTTTTGTTCCCGTATTAAGTCTGAATCCCGAACTTATTCTGGCAGCAACGTCTCAAGGCTGAGGGCTTCAAATAAGGATGAAAAGGAGAAGGCTCAGAAATGTGAGTTTGTACAAGGGCTGTTGATGTCTACTATGCTTGATGAGTTATGATTTGGTACAGGTTCAAGTAAGGAACCGAGAGCGTAGGTTATCAGAATGGATCGATCTGATTTGAATATTGCAACGGGTGGCAATAGATATTAGGTAATCTAAACTTCGCAATGTTCTATTACCCAAAAGTATATATGTGCATAAATGGAAAGATGGAAGGTTCTTGTTTTATCAACATTTAGTAACATGATATGATACTTCAACTCTTGATCGTAGATGATCTCCAATTCATACTATAATTATGGTCCTCATCCGCTAGAACGTAAGAGCGTGTTTGTAGACTTTGGTGCTTCGTAGGTTTATCCTAAGTTCTGGATCGATCGAGCTGAAGCATGCCTGCCTGGTCTGCTTTTCTCTTTTTTTATTGTTTTCAATTTTCAATAATTGAATTAATTAGCCTTTACTATAAGGCTAATGCTAGTAATAGAATTCAAAAGGATTAATTAAGTTTGAAAAAACTAAAGATTTTTGGTTCATATATTTGATTTATGTAATTTGGGATAAAAGTCAAGTACGTATGTCTTTATGTGTAGATTTGTTTATGTGAAGATTTGTTTGTGTAATTTGGGATAAAAGGATTAATTAGACTTTTGAAACCCAATTGGGAACTAAATTCTTGTAAATTTTATAGCTGAAATATACATTTTTTTTTTTTTTAAAAAAAATGAAATGGAGCACATATGTAATATCCTTTTTGAAACGGTAAACGATCAGCGGTACGTGACAGCTCGGTAACTTTAGCACGGTAATTTATTAATGTAGTGCAGTGAATTATTGTTGGTTTTTATTATTTCTTACCTTTTTATTCGGGATGATTTTAGGATTATTTTAAAATTTATTTATATGTCATATAAACAATTTAAGCATTTAATTAAGGTGATTGATTGGTTCAATCATATATATATTTTAATTTTGTTTATGATAATTGAGATAAATATTATAATATCAATTATGAAAACTTAGAATATGGAGTTGACTATTATAATAAAAGAAAAACGAAATTGACCATTAAAAAAAGATGATTGGTCAGTTTAGCGTCAAATTATTTGAGTGGTTGACTTGACCGTAATTCATGAAAAATTACATTTATCACACATTATCAAATCAATAGAAGGAATTGACGATTCATGTTTTTATAATTTTTTAGATTTATTTATTTTTATATTCATGAAAAACTTATTGAAACCCAAGATATATGGTAAGATTTCATTTATTTTTATAATTTTCTAGATTCAAAATATTTGAGTGGTTGACTTGACTGTAAAATAAAAATATTGACATTTATTTATTTTTACTTGGTTTATTTCTAATAAATTAAAATTTTTATTTACCTAGAAAGCAATTATATTTTTATGACTGAGTACTAATTTTTTTATGTTGGAAATTAAACTGTAAATTCATGTAATTTAAAACATTGTAAATTAAGGTAATGCAGTGTGTTTAGATTTTGTTTGATTAACACAAAAACCTGATTACCAAATTTGAACTCTCGACCTAAATCGAATAATGTATTCTTCTTCTATGGAAATGAACTATATATTTATCTTCACGCAGACCTTATAAGAATCTCAAAAAAATTTACCCATTGAAAAAAAAAAATTTACCAACTCCTAACTCGGAGACTAGTGCATACTATTTTTCTTTCAAAATGTACATCAAAATATGACCGATAGAAAACGCTACCAAATAAGACATAATTAAATTTATTTATTGAAACCCAATAATGGCATTTTTAAGGTTTGAAAATACAAGAACCCCACATCCACCAACAACAATTCAAACACTTATTAGAAGAAGAAAGCAAAGCACACATAATTATCTCATTATAACGAAGCTTCTTCAAATTAGTTGTATTCGTCGGGGTGGGCCAAGAGGTAGGCCTCGGCGGCCTTGAGAAGGGCCAATCCCTTCTGCTCGCCAGACTTCAGCTTCTCCTCGTCGATTTGGTGGTCTCCCTTGGTGTGGTAAACGCTTGTGCTCTTCAAAATGGACCCTCCAGAAGGACCTTCAACCACCTTTATTTCCTTGGAAATTTTGTCAATGGTGTCCGATAAAAGCTCTCCTTCTAACACCGTGTACTTGTACGTTCGCGACGCTTCATCTATTACATCCAACCTGTGCTTTATGGTTTTCACTTGATCGCCTGATTAATACATTTGAACATTTTTTAAAATTAAAAAAAAAAATTGAAAAAGAATTTAATCCAAAATGTTAAAAAAAAAAATAAATAATTATGAACATTACCGACGCTGAAGGAAATGGTCTTGATAGTTCCGGGCCCACCATCTCCTTCGAGAACGGATTGTGGCTGATTTGGCACAATCTTGGGATATAATTGGTCGGCACCAAGGATAAATGCCTTGAAGAACTTCTCTGGAGGAATGACCGACGCCACTTCGGTTTCGTAGGTGAAGACTCCCATTGTTTTATGACAGCCCGGTAACTTTACCAAAATTATTGACTAATAAATAGTAAAGGCTTTGGATGTGAGCTTGGTGATGATGAAGGGTCACAGAAATACTCTATTTATAGCTGGGAAATGAAAGCTTGCAAATTCCTCCTAAGATTTTAATATTTATTTTAATCGTTCAAAGCTTGATTTAATTATTTATTAAGCAAAGATGCCGGAAGCATAGCTCCATTTGATTCCCATTATTTGTCATTTATACATTTTTTTTTTAAGAAAAATAAAATTATTATTTTAAAAAACCTATAATTGACTAAAATTTAATATTATTAAGATAACGAAACAAAGTTGATTAATTTAAGATAATGGTTTCATTATTTATTTATTAAACTGTTTCATTATTTGAATTTAAGGAAATTATGATTCATAAAAAAAACATTATAAATTTGATAGTTTAATTTTTTTTTTTTTTGTTGTAAATGGTTATTGTCTTGAGCTCACTGGAAATGTGTACGTGTATATAATTTAATATAAAATACAACGAGTTTGATAAATATTCCACTATAAGTTATTTAAAATAAATAAATAACCCTTTTGTCGTATTGGGAAATTTTGTGTTATTGACTTCAATTTCGTGATAAATAAATGAAGGCAATTCATAATTTAATCCAAAATAAAGTTTTTTCATTAATAAAAAAATTTAGTTTTTAAATTTTCAAAAAATTTATCACAAAATTCAAAATTAAAATTATTGATTAATTCTTTTTTAAAAATTATAAATTGTTTTTCCCAAGTATTCTCCCCCTAATAGATATAATTAAAGCATGACTTTCATTCATTTAGTTATTTATGTAATTATTGATTGTTTATTGGTTTGAATACAAAAAAATGTCCATCTCAAGCGACCAATATTTTATTGATTTCTAGAAGCATCAGGCGGACTACCACCATTTTTTAATAAAATAAACCAGCTGTGTATTAAATAAAATTAAGCTATGACAATTTCTCACAATAATATTTAATAACCATAATGATCCCACAAACAAAGCTTTGAAAAACCTATTCATTTGAATAAAAATATTAATATTCTAAAACCGATTATTTTTACTTAATTAGCCAATTAATATTAAGCTAATTAATTGTTATTTAAAGGTTAGAGATGGATGAGAAGGTAATTAAATAGGTCAAACTTTGACTCGTAATGTCAAAATTCATCATCAATCGTTACAAAATAACAGCTAAGTATATAATTGAAGCCTATTTGATTTACCAAAATCGATCATTAGAACATGAAAGAAGGGAAGCTAATTCTCATTATCACTGCTTAATTCAGATTCATATTCTTCTTCCCCATAAAGAACGTCGTGAACTTCTTCGTCTTCGTCGTTGCTGCTCTCCCCTCCATCTATCTCGGGACCATGTCGTACCGTTTGGTCGGTTTTGTTGGCCGACGCCCTTTCAATCTATCAAATATGCAAAGGAAAGAAGCCCATTAAATTAAGCTTTTTCCAAGAACTCTTTTGAAATAAAATTTAGAATGAAGGATGTGAAAGTAACTCACTTGTGCCAACACCAGTTGCAAACGACCTGATAATTGAAGAAGAGGTTGAACCGCAGTCTCTTTGGATTTAGTAAACTGGAGAACCCAAAGTAAAAGAAGGATATAACAACCTTGTTTTAACCAAAATTTTGTTATCCTTAGATAATGGAAACACAAGATGGGGACTACCTTAAACAAAGAATCGAGAATCTGTGTCGACTGTTCTTGAGACAAGATATGTTGATTGTGATTCAACAATAAACTATAAATCCACGGTAGCACGTTCTTCCCGCTACGCAACCTGAGGCAGACGCAACGAGGTCACTCCGTTAACCGAAGAACAGAATTCTTCAAAAGTTAAAAAGAATTCTAACCAAGTTTACCTGGATTGCCAAATGCTAACCAAGTTTCCAAGCAATTTGCATGCATCGCCAGGTGCCAACGATAAAACCGCTTCTCTTAACTAATCAAATGAAGAAGAAAGTAAAGGAATGGACATTTTGGGTAATGTAATAACGATTGGTGAAGTCGAGGGTCGTTGCGAACCTTTTTCTGCGACATATTAGCTTCAAGATCGATGCCTTTGAATATTGCAGACTTAAGGATGGATTCAGATGTATGATCGTCTGTACTGTCGAGTATGCCTAACAATCGGAGTTTGTCCTCCAGGCAAACTGCTGCAGAGTCCTCCACTCCGACAACATCTGGGGCAAAGAGAATTGACAACTAGACTGAATGAAATTGCTTTCAAAAACTAAATAGCAGTATGCTTTATGTCACTATCAGATGTTCATGAAAAAATTAGGCCATGTTTGATTAGTCGATCACAGAAAACTTAAGTAAGATCCTTTGCTAAAGAAAATGTGAAGGCTTTTGGGTTCAGTACTTCTACGGCAATGGTGAGATCCCACATCGGTTGGAGAAGAGAACGAAACATTTTTATAAGGGGGTGGAAACCCCCCTCTCCCTAGCAGATGCGTTTTAAAAACCTTGAAGGGAAGCCCAAAGAAGACAATATCTGATAGAGGTGGGCTTGGTCTGTTACAAATGGTATCAGAGCCGCTAGACACTGGGTGATGTGCCAATGATGACGCTGAGCCCCGAAGCGGGGTGCCCACCAAGCAGTATGCCAGCAAGGACGCTGGGCCTCGATGGACGGTATATTGTGAGATCCCACATCGATGGGAGAGAAAAATGAATCGTTCTTTATAAGGCAGTGGAAATCTCTCCCTAGTAAACGCGTTTCAAAAATCTTAAGGGGAAGCCTGAAAGGGAAAACTTAAAGAGGACAATATCTGCTAGTGGTGGGCTCAAGCTATTATATTGGAAGTTGAGTGAGAATGAGAACAATGGTTAGGATGATAGATTATCATAAGATCTAATTTCTTTCAAAAGTACATTCTTCTTGTAGCTCCCTTATTGAGCTCTAACTCAACATTTTTATGGGTAAGAAACCAAGCCTTCATCGAGAAAAAATGAAGAAAAGAAGCTCGATGTTGAGGCGCCTTTTCATAAGCCCTTTGGTGTTCGTTTCTTCGGTAAATTTCATCTATCAATTGTTTATATATAGACTCGTCGAATAAAATAGCTAAAACTGTCAATTGTACCTTCTACTTGGCTCCCACTGTCAACCAATTCGGTCATAACATCATCGCGGTCAACATGTAAATCGTGATATAAGGTACGTTTCTCTTGAGAATCGAAAACCTTCGGAATTGGACACAAGGCATCTTCAGCATTAGCTCGATCTAATGCAACGACTGCACCAATATAAGAGAAGTGATTAACCAGACAAAAAGAATTAGAAGTGTAGAAAAGAATCCATCTTCAAACTAGTAGGGTCTCACCTCCTCCCTGTACATCTAAACCCTTCTTAGATTTTCCGACCGAATGACTCGGCAGAAGAATTCCATCATTGGAGCTGTTTAAATTTATGTCAGTACCGGAGTGCACCACGACGTTTTGAAATGAAGGTTTCACTAGCAATCCATGAGCAAGGAAAACCTGGCCCGACCCAGATTTCGGAATTCCTTGAAATTGTGCAGCATAAATCGAGGGTGTTACCCGTTTTTTACTCTTGGAGGAGATATCATTATTAGATATCAATACTTTAGTAGGCTTGACACTTCGTAACTCTTCGAGATTCTGTCCATACCATAAATAACAAACACCAATTTCTGATATAGCCAAAACGTACAGCGCAGTTTCATCAACTCCACCACCACCCGAGCGCCTGCTGTCCATGAAGATGGCAGGGTGCTCCATTGCGAGAACACAACTAGCTGATTGCTTTTTCTCTCCGCCTAAACTCCAAACAACGATATACCTTTCACCAACTCCGGATGAAAGAATGTATTTTCCATCTTCGGTAAAAACCATACATCGAACAGCTCCCTATTCGTTGGAACGAGAAACTATTATTCCACTAGAACTTGGAAGTTCATACACAAAAAATGAAAACCGATCAGGACAGGTGAAGAATATAATACTCACAGGATGCCCGGAAAACTTCTGTATCTTTTTGTGATCGGAACAATTGAAAATCTTCATTTGCGAGGCTGCAGTTGCTATTTTCTTTCCATCTGTTGCAAGCCGAAAACCAAACCAGACATGTTCTCAGTCAAATATTATCCGAGACTAAAATACCAGCCCAACAAACGGAAACGCCCCCAACCTGAAAACTATACAAAAAAGTGCCCAGTCTAAAAGGACACAACCAAGAGAATAATTTCAAGGCTTCTAAAAGGTAAATGTGCATGTGACTACCTGGAGAAACAGAAATGCAGGATATTGCCTTTGTAGAAGCCTTGAACTTCCTCAACAGGCTTCCCGTCATGGAATCAATTTCGCATAGCATTCCATCGGCACCAGCAGTATAAATGCGCGAACCGTGTGTAGGAAACGAAATTGTAGCAACACCCCTGGCACAAGAGAAAACTGAATGTAATGTAACTCTAACGGTTTTTCGTAGAGAGGACTTGGATGTCGGGATTGTTCATCCATCTAAATTCTTAAGAGAGAAAAATGCAACTATATTACCGTCTTTTAAGAGAAATGATGAGACTAAACGAGCAATCCCGTAAAAGAGATTTTGATCTTACCCAGGATGACAATCACTTATTTGCCACTTCAATTCCCCAGCTGCTACATCAAGAGCCATAACATCACCACTACCCGTTCCTAACAACAACAACGAACATTGGCGCTTTCTTTTTCTCTGCATCGAAAGAAAAAACATACATTCAACACTGACATACTAAAATGATCTTTGAGTACTCGTGACTAAGAGATTGAATCTTCGAGTACTCATAACAGAAATTAGTTTATCCAATCCATAATGTAAAACCTTTTTCTCCAATGACAACCATTTCATGCATTTATAATCAACAGATAGATGCCCTTTTCCCGATTTCGTTAGTATGCTCGTTGAATCCGTTGTAAAGAAATCTGCAAACTCCGTCTGTATCTGACCTTTCAACGTGTCCCAGATCTTAACATAAAGAGGATGAAAAATAATCATTTTATGGAAGAAAATTGACAGTTATAAAAATTGATATGTTTAATCTTATTAACAACCGGCTTAGCTAAAAGTTCTCAAAATAAACAAGCAGTTCTGATTCAATATACAACATTTAACAGCCCCATGTCATGTTCTCAGCATCCGCATAGGCATACAGTGGAAAAACAAATACCTTGATACGACCATCCCCCGAGCTGATGGCAAAGAAATGCAAATCAGGACTAAAAGATGTTAACAGATCTCTGATATTCGACGACGCCATGAATCTGAAATGTAAACATTATAATAATTAATAATAATAACTCGTTAGAAAAATAGAATAATCATTAATCATATGCACTGAGAGTTAAGATGCTCGATTTTCTTTGAGGGGTATAACAATATAACGATTAGCTTACTAGCAAATAATATGCTTCCTGAATAAAGTAAACTGAAACGGCCATGAGTGCGAGCAGTAATTAACCAAAATCGACAGTTCAATGCAGAAGAAAAACAGAACCTTTCGGTCGAGTAGATTTAAGGATACTTTTGAAATTGTGAGAGGATCAGTGGCTAAAGGAAGCACAGAAACAGAGCTTTAACGATCAAAAGCAGGCTTGGCGGCTGAGAAAGCGCTGGCTCTAGAGTCTTAGCTCCTCGCCGTTTGGCGCTATACAGTTCCTTTTTGATAGACAACGATCAACTGACAGAAATATGCAAACCGGTGGGATGGAGGCGGCGGCGGTGACGACACTGAACTGCTGGAAGGGAGGAGGATACGGCGGGAAGAAGAAGAAGTGGAGCGCGTGAGAATGAGGGGAAGACGGAAGGGGTTTAGGGTTTTTGTTTACTTTTTTTTTTTTTTTTTTTTTTTTTTTTTTTTTTTTTTTTTTTTTTTTTTTTTTTTTTTTTTTTTTTTTTTTTTT